TCCCGAGAGGACAGTGGACCCCTTGTGGAGAGTCCAGCAGAGTTGAGTGGGATGGTTTTTCTTCAATATTTCAGGTCTAGCTCGACATCTGACCTGGCCTAGTCCCGACACTTCTGCCTTACAGTAGTACGGACCCAGTCCTCGGCTCCTGCAGCAATCCAGCTTTGACCTTGCGTTACCGGTGTGTGTGTGTGTGCGTGCTACTTCCGGCATGTAAGCCAATAAGAGTCTATCGCACCGTGACGCAAGGATGTGTTCAATTTCATATTTTACTAAATAAAAAGTGTTATATTAGCAATTGTATTAAGAAAGGAAGAAAAACTCACACAGGGTTTTCTGCCTGGGTTACACACAGAAACAACAAAGCTCAGGCCCGTGGGCTAAACTCGGTCCTCAAGATCATTTTAGGTGGCCCCTGAAATGATTTTCAATTATCTTTGTCACAGTATCTTGCAGCATTGATGGTAATGGCCTACAATGGCATGTTATACTTCATTTTTAAAGCCTTTATCGTCTCAGGGAAACAAATGAAATTATGATAAAAAATAATTATAATAATGCATTGGTATTATACATTACTTTCCTGGACACGCTTCACATCATTATTCATTCACTTCAAAGACAGTGGTGATGAACTACTGCCACAGCTGCCCTGGGGCACTCATTGGCCCCTCCCATCAACTCTGTGTGGAGGGAGAGACAAATGCACGCCACGATTGTAAAGGCCTCGTCCGTGAAAGGTGCTATGTGAATAAACATGACTTACTTATAATCAGAATTCTTGTTATGTTGTAGCCGTCGTGAGAAACCGGAAGTAGCTTGGAAATTGCTTTGGCTCATGGTGTAAACAAGTTATAAAAGTAAAAAGACAGACATTAGCAATAAAGAGCAGTAAAGTGAAAAGATGTTCCAGAGTTAGCATTGGGTTGGTTTGTCTGTAACCTGTGGAGAGTGTGGGTGTGCTGCTGAGAGAACCATGAGAAGCCACAGTCTGCTCCATCAAGAAAAAAATCTAGAGGAACTGTTGGATTAGCATTGCTTCTAATCCAGATGTAACTTCTAGCAACAGTAGTGACGAATCCTGAATTTTAGAATTGAAATATGCATCTGTATTTAAGGCTTTAATTTTCATTTTAAGGTTAAGGTAACAGCAAGTTTATTTGTATTGCACATTTGCACAGTTTATTAACCTTGTGCAATCCTCGGGTCAAACTCATCTGCCACAGTGATAAAAAAATGCTAATAATATATATCTTTTTGTGCCTATTTTTGGTGATTTTTCCCTAACTTGCTCAGCCCTGGGTCGTTGAAACTATTTTAGATCCTTTTTCTTCTACTTTCAATCAAAGGAAAAAGAAAATCCTATTGACTTCCTGTGGTCTGAGCAGCGCCTGCGTGGTCTTTGATGTCTTTCCACTGATGTCACATGACGTTGCATTGCACTGACTCCGCCTCATTGTTTCCATGGCTACGTCATGATAGGTTTGGAATAGCACAGTTTGGTTTTATTTGGTTTCAATTTAGAACCTATTGATGTCACTTGCTGGTATAACATTCCAGACAAAACGAGATGAACCCAAAAAGCAGATTCTCCACAGGACAGGGGCAGAGAGCAGGCCAATATGGCAAGACAGACTGAGGATGGTCTATTATATGAAATGGATTTAGATCAATATTAATCTGCCAAATGGACAAGATGCAATGATGACCCACCAGTGTCTGAGATGACGGCAGACAGAATAACTTGTTTCTAACTATTGTGTAACTTTGATCCTTGTTTACAGTTCAGTTTCTTGGCAACCGTGGATTGGATTACTGTATGTTTGTTACAGCAGCTTCTGTGTTCAGTGAAATGCAACTATGAAAAATCACAAAGTCTAAGAAATGAGAAACTCACTCAGAGTCACTCAGAGTAAGAAGATTCTGGGTTCCATTCCACCTCCCGATCTTTCTGTGTGCAGTTTGATTGTTCTCCCCGTATCTGCAGGTTTCCTCCAGGTGTTCCGGTTTCCTCTACCACTAAAAACATGTACAATAGGTCTGTGCCCCCTGTAGGCGACCCGCTCCATCTCTGTGTGGAGTCAGACAAATGGGACAGTAACAGTAAAGGGCTCTGTATTTGTGGTCTGTGAAAGGCGCCATATAAATAAACACTTACTTGAGATTGTGGCAGAGACTGTGGCAGAGACTGTGGCAGAGACTGTGGCAGAGACTGTGGCAGAGAATGTGGCAGAGACTGTGGCAGAGACTGTGGCAGAGACTGTGGCAGAGACTGTGGCAGAGACTGTGGCAGAGACTGTGGCAGAGACTGTGGCAGAGACTGTGGCAGAGACTGTGGCTGAGACAGTGGCTGAGACTGTGGCTGAGACTGGCAGAGACTGTGGCAGAGACTGTGGCAGAGACTGTGGCTGAGACTGTGGCTGAGACTGTGGCTGAGACTGGCAGAGACTGTGGCAGAGACTGTGGCAGAGACTGGCGCAGAGACTGGCGCAGAGACGGGCGCAGAGACTGGCGCAGAGACTGGCGCAGAGATTATACGGAGACGCTTAGACTGTAACTGCTGGGGCTCACGCGTGTCGTCTTATAAAGTTCCACTGCCCGCTACTGGCCGGGCGCTAGAACTACATTGTTTTCAGTAGTCACCTAGACGCTCAGCGGGAGCTTGGTCGTTTTTGCTAACTGCTCAGATTCAGATTCATTTATTTGCCATTTGCAGTAAAACCACATTGGAAAACTGTGCAAGACTACCCCGGTGTGCGCCAGACAGACGACACACACCAGAGCTCTTGCCACGGCGCCATCGATTCCGGCGCCATGCGACAAACAGTAGAATATGACAGTTATTCAACAGCAGAGAGCAAAACAGACACATATTTCAACAAACATAACTGCTTTGCAGCGTGTCTGCAGCGCCACTATATAAACAGGCCTGAGGCAGAGAATGAAGCTCTTGTAGCTCTGTTTTTATAATGTCTTTGAATAACATGAGAGACCTGAATCACGGAATCAAATCGCAACACATGATTTATCGCAATAACATTGAATTGTGGCCCAAATGTTGCAGTAATGTTGCATTATTGAGTTGTCATTTTTGCCATTTCCCAGCCCTACTATCTATCTATCTATCTATCTATCTGCTGTGTTGCTATAGCTACAGTATACACTATAGAAACCACTGATGTTTAGACTAAAGTTCATAATAACGTTCTTTCTGTAAACAGCAGAGTCTGGTTTGACCGCAGGTGTATGTTTGGCGCAGGAGGAGGGAGGGGGAGGGGTAATCTGAGCGAGCAGGAGACTCGGGCACCAGAGCCCTCAGGACGTCCCATTGAGGGATAAGCCCCGGCTGGGATGGAGCCAGTAGTAGCAGCAGCAGCAGCAGCAGCAGCAGTAGTAGCAGTAGTAGCAGCAGTTGCAGCAGTAACAGCAGCAGCAGCAGCTCAGAGACTTGCAGCACCGGCCTGCAGTTCGCATTAGCATCAGCACAAAGGCCCAGAGGATCTATAATAATAACTGGATAGTGTATTACTAGCTTATAGCTGTCCCACCCATGGGCGCCGGGAGCACCTGCAGTACTGCAGACTAAATTCACGTTACCCAGAAAAATTTCACATAGAACTAAATGCAAACTAAAACAGCTTTCATAAAGGAGGATTATTAGGGGATTTTAGTGTCCCTTGTCATCTACAAAATGAGAGTAACTGTTGGACACCCTCACATGATCTGAAACCCTGACTGATCACTAGGTTTTTTTATTCACTGTTTTTTTTTTTTTTTGATTTGTTCCTCTGCTGCAGGAGGCTCTGAGGACAATGGTGATGATTCAGGACACTCCATTCAACAACATTTATGGACATTGGTGTCTGTGTTTTTATCATTGCATTTCTTGTGTTTGAACTGTTTGATTCTCTGATCTGTGTTGAAGAATCAATTTGTAAAGTCCTCTGAGATAGATAGATACTTTATTGATTCCCCGTAGGAGAAATTCAGGTGTCCAGCAGCAGAAAACGCATCCATAAACAGTACATCAATTTTAAAGATTTCTAACTACTTAACAATAGTGTATGTTTTTTACTCACATACAGATAGGTTTGTTGTACAGTCTGACAGCCGAAGGAACAAAGGATCTTTTGAAACGTTCCGTTCGGCAGCACACTGATAGGAGACCGTTGCTACGGTTACTCCTCTGAGCGGCCATAGTGTCATGCAGAGGGTGTCTGGAGTTACCCAGGATGCCCTGCAGTAGAGCCCTCATCCATCCCAGCACAGCTCCCACAGAGTCCACACTTCTCCCCATCACAGAGACACATTTCCTGATCAGCCTCTGAGGTCAGACTGCTGCCCCAACACGTGACCCCAAAAAACACGGCACTAGTTACAACAGACTGGTAAATAGATTATTAATGTTTAACCCGCTCTAATTGAGTATTTATTAATCACTTTTTTCTTTCTATTCTACATGGCCTTATTCAACATCTACTAACTCACTTTCCCAGGTGGGTTAGAGTTGGGGTGCACATATTAGTATTTAAATAGATGTTAATTAGTGAGATCAAGAAGGGCTAAACGTTTATTTGTATGGCACTAAATAGAGCTGGCTTTTCAAAAAAACGTGGTCAAAATTTCTAACTTTCATTCTGTTTACAAATAGATTTTATGCTTAATTCCTGCTTCTTTGGAGATTTTACTCTTGGTTCTTTATTATGCTAAAGTTAGAGGTGTTATTGTATTTTAGTATAGAGTTATTGTTCATTTATCTGGTTTTTGTTCATGTATCTTGTGCTGTGTGCTCCTCATTCCTACTGCTCTGTAACTGCTGATGCAACACTGACATTTCCCAACTGAGAATGAAGATTCTCTAAATCTATTTCTTAAAGTTTTTTCAGGGCTGTATTGCTGACTATTGATGCACAGGGTCACAGTCTTAAAACTTAGAATACTTTCTTGTTTTGTGGCTAAGGAGAACTAGTTGTTGATATTTGTTCCCGTTTCTTTCACAGATTATGTTTATTTTGAGAACTCGTCCAGTAACCCGCTGCTGATCCGGAGGATAGAGGAGCTCAATAAGGTGAGATCGTCACGCAACACTTTTACTTTTTATTGTAATCATTCCATACATACCGGAAGGACGGTGGTGCCGCGGTTAGTGCAGGACTGGGGCTGGACCCTTTCTGTGTGGAGTTTGTTCTTGGCGTGTCTGCGTAGGTTTCCTCTAAGTGCTCCGGTTTCTCCTACCATTAAAACCTGTGCAATACAATAGGTATGTGTCTTCTGTGACTTCGCCTCCATCACGGTGTGGACAGAGATTTTAAGAGTTTTGTGACTCAGAATGAAATATTTACTCACCTCACTGACCTTTTAGTTTTCTCTTATTGTAACATTGCAACTTTGAAAACATGTGATCTAAGATCTAATGTTCAGCGTGACCAAAGAAAATAAACTACTACCACAGAAAGGAACGTTCACACAGACTGCAATAAAACATAATCTATCTATTTTGACTGTAAATATCCTGTAGTTACTTCACTTTGAGTCAAAATAATAAATCCATAAGCTCTGACAAAACCCATCTCTACCTCTGTAAGCATCATTATATAAAACTATATAGGACTGTGAAAAAAACGATAAACAATACAAAATTACAGTCCGGCAGTTACGGTACTTCATCCAAGTCTGTGTCTGAAAATAAAATTTGTTTTGTTTTGAAAAAAAAAAAAAATGGATGAAATCAATAAATAATGTGGAAGAATAACTTTGAACAAAAGCGTTTACCAGAGAGCGAGAGACCGGAGAGCGAGAGACCGGAGAGCGAGAGACCGGAGAGCGAGAGACCGGAGAGCGAGAGACCGGAGAGCGAGAGACCGGAGAGCGAGAGACCGGAGAGCGAGAGACCGGAGAGCGAGAGACCGGAGAGCGAGAGACCGGAGAGCGAGAGACCGGAGAGCGAGAGACCGGAGAGCGAGAGACCGGAGAGCGAGAGACCGGAGAGCGAGAGACCGGAGAGCGAGAGACCGGGTCTCTTCTCGGCCTCTCCTCTGTCTCTCCTCGGTCTCTCCTCGGTCTCTCCTCGGTCTCTCCTCGGTCTCTCCTCGGTCTCTTCTCGGTCTCCCCTAGGTCTCTCCTCGGCCTCTCCTCTGTCTCTTCTCGGTCTCTTCTCGGCATACTCTCGGCCTCTTCTCGGTCTCTTCTCGGTCTCTTCTCTGTCTCTTCTCGGTCTCTTCTCGGTCTCTTCTCGGTCTCTTCTCGGTCTCTTCTCGGTCTCTTCTCGGTCTCTTCTCTGTCTCTTCTCTGTCTCTTCTCGGTCTCTTCTCGGTCTCTTCTCGGTCTCTTCTCGGTCTCTTCTCGGTCTCTTCTCGGTCTCTTCTCGGTCTCTTCTCTGTCTCTTCTCTGTCTCTTCTATGTCTCTTCTCGGTCTCTTCTCGGTCTCTTCTCGGTCTCTTCTCGGTCTCTTCTCGGTCTCTTCTCGGTCTCTTCTCGGTCTCTTCTCGGTCTCTTCTCTGTCTCTTCTATGTCTCTTCTCGGTCTCTTCTCGGTCTCTTCTCGGTCTCTTCTCTGTCTCTTCTCTGTCTCTTCTCGGTCTCTTCTCTGTCTCTTCTCTGTCTCTTCTCTGTCTCTTCTCTGTCTCTTCTCTGTCTCTTCTCGGTCTCTTCTCGGTCTCTTCTCGGTCTCTCCTCCGTCTCTCCTCTGTCTCTTCTCGGTCTCTCCTCGGTCTCTCCTCGGTCTCTCCTCTGTCTCTTCTCGGTCTCTCCTCGGTCTCTCCTCGGTCTCTCCTCTGCCTCTCCTCTGCCTCTCCTCTGCCTCTCCTCCGTCTCTCCTCTGTCTCTTCTATGTCTCTCCTCTGCCTCTTCTCGGTCTCTTCTCTGTCTCTTCTCTGTCTCTTCTCGGTCTCTTCTCGGTCTCTCCTCGGTCTCTCCTCGGTCTCTTCTCGGTATACTCTCGGCCTCTTCTCGGTCTCTTCTCGGTCTCTTCTCTGTCTCTTCTCGGTCTCTTCTCGGTCTCTTCTCGGTCTCTTCTCGGTCTCTTCTCGGTCTCTTCTCGGTCTCTTCTCGGTCTCTTCTCGGTCTCTTCTCGGTCTCTTCTCGGTCTCTTCTCTGTCTCTTCTCTGTCTCTTCTATGTCTCTTCTCGGTCTCTTCTCGGTCTCTTCTCGGTCTCTTCTCGGTCTCTTCTCGGTCTCTTCTTGGTCTCTCCTCTGCCTCTCCTCTGCCTCTCCTCTGCCTCTCCTCTGCCTCTCCTCTGCCTCTTCTCGGTCTCTTCTCTGTCTCTTCTCGGTCTCTTCTCGGTCTCTCCTCGGTCTCTCCTCGGTCTCTCCTCGGTCTCTCCTCGGTCTCTCCTCGGTCTCTCCTCGGTCTCTCCTCTGTCTCTTCACGGTCTCTCCTCGGTCTCTCCTCTGTCTCTTCTCGGTCTCTTCTCGGTCTCTTCTCGGTCTCTCCTCGGTCTCTCCTCGGTCTCTCCTCTGTCTCTTCTCGGTCTCTCCTCGGTCTCTCCTCGGTCTCTCCTCTGCCTCTCCTCGGTCTCTCCTCGGTCTCTCCTCTGCCTCTCCTCTGCCTCTCCTCTGCCTCTTCTCGGTCTCTTCTCTGTCTCTTCTCTGTCTCTTCTCGGTCTCTTCTCTGTCTCTTCTCTGTCTCTTCTCGGTCTCTTCTCGGTCTCTCCTCGGTCTCTCCTCGGTCTCTCCTCGGTCTCTCCTCGGTCTCTCCTCTGTCTCTTCTCGGTCTCTTCTCGGTCTCTTCTCGGTCTCTTCTCGGTCTCTTCTCGGTCTCTTCTCGGTCTCTTCTCGGTCTCATCTCTGTCTCTTCTCTGTCTCTTCTCGGTCTCTCCTCGGTCTCTCCTCTGTCTCTTCTCGGTCTCTCCTCTGCCTCATTTTTATTGCCACGTAAGTAACAGGAGGTCACAGACTAGGAAATTGCTTTGGCTCAGTGCAACAGTCAAAAAGAGATAATAAAAATAAGAAAAAAAAAACACTTCTAAAGAATAAATTTAAATTTAAAATAGAGTTACAGTTACTATTTACAATATACAAGTGCACATGGTGCACACAATGTAAGGTGACAGCAGTACAGTGAGGTAAAGTGACGTATGATGGGCAGTAAAGTGACTTTATAAAGGGCGGGGGGACAGGTTAAGAAGTGTTCAAGAGTCCGACAGCAGAGGGGAAGAAACTGTTCTTGTGGCGGGAGGTTCTAGTCCTGATGGACCGCAGCCTCCTGCCTGAGGGGAGTGGTTGGAATAGTCCATGTGCAGGGTGAGAGGGGTCGGCTGTGATACGACCAGCCCGGCCTCGAGCTCGGGCGACGTACAGGTCCTGCAGCGATGGAAGGCTGCGGCCGGTCACTTCCTCTGCAGAGCGCACAATGCGCTGTAGTCTCTGTTTGTCCCTGACTGTGGCTCCAGCGAACCACACGGTGACGGAGGAGGTGAGGATGGACTCGATGATGGCCGTGTAGAACTGCACCAACATCTGTGCAGGCAGCTTGGCTTTCCTGAGCTGCCGCAGGAAGTACATCCTCTGCTGGGCCTTCTTGATGAGGGAGCTGATGGTCGGCTCGCACTTGAGGTCCTGGGTGATGGTGGTGCCCAGGAAACGGAAGGACTCCACAGAGGTGATGGGGGAGTCCATCACGGAGGGTGGGGGCGGGGGGACAGTGTTCTTCCTGAAGTCCACAATCATCTCCACTGTCTTCTGGGCGTTCAGCTCCAGGTTGTTACCACTGCACCAGGACACCAGCCGGTCCACCTCCCTCCTGTAGGCGGACTCATCGTTGTTGGAGATGAGTCCAATGAGGGTGGTGTCGTCCGCGAACTTGATCAGCTTCACGGAGTCGTGGCTGGAGGTGCAGTGGTTGGTGTACAGGGAGAAGAGCAGGGGAGAAAGAACACAGCCCTGTGGGGCTCCTGTATTTATAATCCGAGGGTCCGAGACATTCTTCCCCAGACGCACTCGCTGCTTCCTGTCCGTCAGGAAGTCAGTGATCCACCTGCAGGTGGAATCGGGCACGTTGAGCTGGGAGAGCTTGTCCTGGAGCAGGGATGGCAGGATTGTGTTGAAGGCAGAGCTGAAGTCCACGAACAGGACCCTGGCGTAGGTCCCCGGGGAGTCCAGGTGCTGTAGGATGTGGTGGAGGGCCAGGTTAATGGCGTCGTCTACAGATCTGTTGGCTCTGTAGGCGAACTGCAGGGGGTCCAGGAGGGGGGAGGTGAGGGACTTGAGATGGGAGAGAACCAGGCGTTCAAATGACTTCATGACGACAGACGTAAGTGCTACAGGTCTGTAGTCATTGAGTCCTGTGATCCTGGGCTGCTTCGGGACGGGGACAATGATGGAGGATTTGAAGCAGGCCGGGACATGGCAGGACTGCAGAGAGGTGTTGAAAATGTCAGTGAACACAGGAGTAAGCTCACTGGCGCAGTGTCTCAGAGTGGCCGGAGACACGTGGTCCGGGCCAGGAGCTTTGCGGGGGTGCAGCCTCAGGAAGAGTTGTTTAATCTCTTTAGCGGCTATTGTTAGGCTGGGGGCAGGGCTGATGGGTGGGTCGTTAGAGTAGTGGGGGGTGAGGGAGGGAGAGGTGTCAGGGGCAGCATCAAAGCGACTGAAAAATAAGTTCAGTTCGTCAGCTAGCTTGTGGTCGTCAGCACATGTAGGGGGGGGCTTTGGGTTTGTAGTTGGTGATCTCCCGTAGGCCCCTCCAGACAGAAGCAGTATCGTTGTTACCAAACTGCTCCTGTAGTCGTTCTCTGTGCCGGGACTTGGCTGCTTTCAGTTCTTTCCTGAACTGATATTTAGCTGCTTTGTAGCCGCTGCGGTCCCCCTCCCTGAAAGCAGACTCCTTTGCTTTCCTGAGCTGCCGGAGTTTAGCAGTGAACCAGGGTTTGTCATTGTTATAGATGACCCTGGTCCTTGTTGGAATGATGCTATCCTCGCAGAAGTGAATGTATGACGTCACAGTGTCCGTGTATTCATCCAAACTATCTGTGGCAGCTCTGAAAAGGTCCCAGTCTGTAGATTCCATGCATGCGCGCAGCTCTTCCACAGCTTCATCAGACCACACTTTGGAGCTCCTCACTGCAGGTTTCGAGAGCTTTAGTCTCTGTCTGTCAGCAGGAACCAGATGTATCATGGAGTGATCTGAGAAGCCGAGGGCTGGCTTGGGAACAGCGCGAAAAGCTCCGCGCACGGTGGTATAACAGTGATCCAGAGTGTTCTCCTCTCTGGTCGGGCATTTGATAAACTGTCTGTATTTGGGTAATTCCTGGCTCAAGTTTCCCTTATTAAAATCCCCCAGGATAATAATCAGAGAGTCCGGGTATAAGCGTTACATACACAGTACTTGCTCTGCGAGTGCGCGCTGAGCCTCGCGCGCGTCCGCGCATGGCGGTATGTAAACAGAGGCAAGAATGAATGAAACAATTTCGCGCGGGGAGTAAAACGGTTTACAATGGATGAAAAGATATTCCAGAGCAGGAGAGCAGTGCTTGGAGATCACGGTCACATCGTTACACCAGTTTGTATTGACGTAGAAACACAGCCCTCCGCCTCTGCTCTTCCCTGAAAGCGCACAATGGCGATCCGTGCGGAACAGCCCAAAGCCCTGCAGCTCCAGAGCGCAGTCCGGGATCCGCTCATTTAGCCAGGTCTCAGTGAAGCAGAGGACACAGGATGTGGCGAAGTCCTTGTTTCTTCTCATGAGCAGGCTGAGTTCGTCCATCTTATTGACCAGTGAGCGTACGTTGGAGAGAAAAATGCCGGGGAGAGCCGTGCGCGCTCCTCTCCTCCTAAGACGCACGAGCAGGCCTCCGCGCTTTCCCCTTTTACGGGCCCACACTTTTTTGGCTAGAACATGAACTAAATCAGCCGCAGATGCCAAGAAAACAGGCAATAGGTCCATGGGAACGGTGGGTCGGATGTTCATAAGTTCCCCACGGGTGTAGGAACAGCCAGATGCACAGTTAAAGTAAAAACAAAAGAAAAAGAGAGCAGCAAAGAGCCATGTCGACCGTACGAGGCGCCATCTTTGTTTTGGATGGCGCGGTCTCTTCTCTGTCTCTTCTCTGTCTCTTCTCGGTCTCTCCTCTGCCTCTTCTTGGCCTCTTCTCGGTCTCTTCTCTGTCTCTTCTTTGTCTCTTCTCTGTCTCTTCTCGGTCTCTCCTCTGCCTCTTCTTGGCCTCTTCTCGGTCTCTTCTCTGTCTCTTCTTTGTCTCTTCTCTGTCTCTTCTCGGTCTCTTCTCGGTCTTTCCTCGGTCTCTCCTCGGTCTCTCCTCGGTCTCTCCTCTGTCTTTTCTCGGTCTCTTCTCGGTCTCTTCTCGGTCTCTTCTCGGTCTCTCCTCGGTCTCTCCTCGGTCTCTCCTCTGTCTTTCCTCGGTCTCTCCTCTGTCTCTTCTCGGTCTCCCCTAGGTCTCTCCTCGACCTCTTCTCTGTCTCTTCTCGGTCTCTTCTCGGCCTATTCTCGGTCTCTTCACGGTCTCTTCTCGGTCTCTTCACGGTCTCCCCTAGGTCTCTCCTCGGCCTCTCCTCGGCCTCTTCTCTGTCTCTTCTCGGTCTCTTCTCGGCCTCTTCTCGGCCTCTTCTCGGCCTCTTCTCGGTCTCTTCTCTGTCTCTTCTCTGTCTCTTCTCGGTCTCTTCTCGGTCTCTTCTCTGTCTCTTCTCTGTCTCTTCTCGGTCTCTTCTCGGTCTCTTCTCGGTCTCTTTTCTGTCTCTTTTCTGTCTCTTTTCTGTCTCTTTTCTGTCTCTTCTCTGTCTCTTCTCTGTCTCTTCTCTGTCTCTTCTCTGTCTCTTCTCGGCCTCTTCTCGGTCTCTTCTCTGTCTCTTCTCTGTCTCTTCTCGGCCTCTTCTCGGTCTCTTCTCTGTCTCTTCTCTGTCTCTTCTCGGTCTCTTCTCGGTCTCTTCTCGGTCTCTTTTCTGTCTCTTTTCTGTCTCTTTTCTGTCTCTTTTCTGTCTCTTCTCTGTCTCTTCTCTGTCTCTTCTCTGTCTCTTCTCTCTCTTTTCTGTCTCTTCTCTGTCTCTTCTCTGTCTCTTCTCTGTCTCTTCTCTGTCTCTTCTCTGTCTCTTCTCCGTCTCTTCTCCGTCTCTTCTCTGTCTCTTCTCTGTCTCTTCTCGGTCTCTTCTCTGTCTCTTCTCTGTCTCTTCTCTGTCTCTTCTCTGTCTCTTCTCGGTCTCTTCTCGGTCTCTTCTCGGTCTCTTCTCGGTCTCTTCTCGGTCTCTTCTCGGTCTCTTCTCGGTCTCTTCTCGGTCTCTTTTCTGTCTCTTCTCTGTCTCTTCTCCGTCTCTTCTCGGTCTCTTCTCTGTCTCTTCTCTGTCTCTTCTCCGTCTCTTCTCCGTCTCTTCTCGGTCTCTTCTCGGTCTCTTCTCGGTCTCTTCTCGGTCTCTTCTCTGTCTCTTCTCGGTCTCTTCTCGGTCTCTTCTCGGTCTCTTCTCGGTCTCTTCTCGGTCTCTTCTCTGTCTCTTCTCTGTCTCTTCTCTGTCTCTTCTATGTCTCTTCTCGGTCTCTTCTCGGTCCGTTCTCGGTCTCTTTGTTTCCCTCATTATCTCCGGAGCTAAACCTTGTGCGTTCTGGTGGTTTGGATCCCGGCGTGAGGCTCCCTGTTTCCGTGGTAACACAGCTCGCTTCTCCCCCTTTTTTTCTATTTCCCTTTTCCCTGTGTCTGCTTTTTCTATTTATTTATGTCTTTATTTCTTTCTGTATTCTGCAGACAGCCAATGGGAACGTGGAGGCCAAAGTGGTGTGTTTCTATCGACGCAGGGACATCTCTGGGACGCTCATTGCTCTCGCCGACAAACACGCAAGTGAGTCACTCCTATCACCAAAAAACTCAAATCTCTGGTTTCTTCTTTTGTGAAAGTTTATAATGTTCAATCCTCCGTGGACATGTGACATATGGTGTCTGAGGTGGTGTCGCTGCTCCCTCTCTCTGGTCAGTCTCTCTGGTCAGTCTTTCTGGTCTGTCTCGCTGGTCTCTCTCTCTGGTCTTTCTCTCTGGTCTGTCTCTCTGGTCCATCTCACTGGTCCGTCTTGCTGGTCTGTCTCGCTGGTCCCTCTCTCTGGTCTGCCTCTCTGGTCTGTCTCTCTGGTCTCTCTCTCTGGTCACTCTCTGGTCTCTCTCTGGTCTCCCTGGTCTGTGTCTGTTTTTATATCAAACGGGTAAATCAATATTTTAATTATTGCGTCAAGTTTTGTTTTGTTCTGTGGCAGTTAAACTATTCTATTAAACTGAAACTCATTTTGGTCTCACAAGTTCAAATCCTCATCAAACTTGTGTCTGTCTCTAAGTAAGTAAGTAGTAAGTCATCTTTATTTATATAACACCTTTCACAGACCAGAGTCACAAATCGCTTGACAATTGCTGTGGGCACATGCCAGACCTATAGTGTCTGTGTGTGTGTCTCTGTTGCTCTGTGTGTGTCTCTGTGTGTGTTTGTGTGTGTGTGAGTTATGCAGTGTGCTTGTGTCACAGAAGTCTAGACGCCCCTCTCTCTCAGACTTCGATCGTCTCTGTCAATATGGCCACTCTCCGTGTGCGTCTGTGAAAGAAAAGCGTTTCTGTTGTTTTGATTGAAGATCAAACATTAAAATGAACCATAATGAACCCAATAATGCTCTAACACACTATTCTATAAACAATATTAACAATATTGGCGGCACGGTGGCTGAGTGGATAGCACTCTCGCTTCTCAGCAAGAGAACAGTCCGGTTTGATTACCGGGGCCACACAGACGGTTTTAGGCTCAAAAGTGAGACGTTTATCTAATTTGCATTAAAACATCAAAACACTGACCAGGACATGTAGATGGCACTATAAGAAACAGATTCATGGAGTTTATGAGTTAAAAAAACATTTATTTGGTGTTTAATTAAGATGATATGGCAAAGTAAATGACCTCATTATCCTGTTTAGTGGCTTAAAATAGTGCACAATATTCCCTCTTAAAACACGTTCAAATAATGAATGAATCGAGGCAGGGCGAGTTGTATTTGTACAGCACAGTTCATACACAAGGCAACTGAAAGTGCTGAACGTCAATAATCACAATAAGTAATTCAAATCTACTGAATAGATTTGTACTGTGTTCAGACAGAGAATTGTCTCAGTCCTGTTGCTTCTGTTCGGGTTCAGCTCATCTGAATGCAGAGCCTGAGGACAAACAGTTGGTGCTAATTCCCTCGCCACGTCCATAAAGCAACAGCAGACGAATGCAGGTGCAAAACCCCATCTCTGCAAATATCATGCAAATATCGCCACAACAACAATAGTAAGAACAACAGTAAGGACCGGATCCTGGCGTTTGTTCATGTTCTACTGCTGTAGCCACAGCTGCCTTCGGGCACACTGACAGAAGCGCGGAAACCAGTCTGTGCCACCGGCCCCTCCCACCACCACCAGGGGGACACACACACACGCACACGCACACGCACACGCACACTAGACTCATTCTAATGTGGGGGAAGTGTCTTTCCTAAGGACACGATCACAGTTTGGCACTTTACAGCCGTAGCCACCCCACTGTGGCACCTGGTGTTCCCAAAGGTCTCTCATCACAGTTCTTACTAGGCCCTGCCATGCTTAGCTTCAGTTGAGGGATATGGCTTTCACCAGCAGGTATAGAAGAATCAAGCAAGGGAGTAGGGTGGAATAGCAGAGGGGGAGGAGAGCGGGAGATGTTGAACATCGTCTTGCAGTGCCTTCATGTCATTTTTTGAATATTGTCATTTTTATTATGTTTTATCTTTTAACTTTATCCTGCTGTGTTTATGCAACCTACACAGACACGGGGAGAACATACAAACTCCCCTCAGAAAGGCCCTGTTCTGACCAGGATTCGAATCCAGGACCTTCTTGCTGAGAAGTGAGAGTGCTAACCACTCAGCCACCGTGTCGCTGTTAATATCGCCCCATAGTTCTTTAATGGGACAAAGCCTTTTAGTCTTGTTTCAAGAAATGTTGCTTTATTTTCTCTTTCCAAAGGAGACATTTCTTGTATTTTTTAAAACAAGATAATTTTGCTTGGTCCCATTGGAAAATCTTGTTTTAAGGCAGTCAGAATTTGCTCAAACTAAGATTCAACTTGCCAAATTTTAGGAATTGTTGCCATATTTTTCATCACTTTTTGCAGTACAACACTCTGTCTATATTCTGTCTGTATTTCTGTCTTCTCTTTCACACGTTCCATTCCTACTGCATTTGGTGATTTTTCTCTTTTTTTGAAAATGCAGCGTGACATTTGGTGGAGCTGAAGTCGCCTGAATGATAATTTATCACTAGAGAATGAAGTCTAGAAGTTTCAAGCTTTAATATGATGCATGGCAGTGTGAATGCCTCTATGATCTTGTTAGCATAGCTAATGTTTGCATTGTTGTTTACAGACTTTTTACATTGGAAATAGAGGTGTGGATTGTATTGCAGGTACTGTATATGTTGCTTTCCTTAAAATTAGGTATAACATGTCGATATCGAGTTTAGTTGGTGCTGAGTAGGAAAAACGGGTAAAATCTGTGAATCCACGGTCAACAAACAAATGTTTCCCTTTTTTAATCAGATACTTTAAGTAAATTCAATATAATTTATAAATAAATGTGTTGAAGTGTCTGTTGGTTTGATTTTTATAATTTTCAGAAATGGTTGCCAGGTTTCTAAACATTCAGTGATAGAGCCGTTGGGTGTTTTACCAAAATGCAAAACCCTCATAACATCATTGATCCATTGGTCGTGTGAGAGACGTCTCCAGTTTCCACCTTAAGAGGATAAGAATTGGTGCCAACGAGAAGGCAAAGGCTGCGGCTTTAGCTCAACACGCTAAAGAACTAAAGAGTTCAGTCCGAGAATTTAAAGCAAGTTTATGAACTGAATCCACATTCATCTGCCCCTTATGTACCTTTGATTCTCTGATCTGTGTTGGTGAATCGACAGTTTTGTAAAGTCTTCTGAGATAACTACTGTTGTGATTTAGGGAGATGCTCAAATACATTGAACTTAGATATTGTATAATTGTGTTTCAACCCTTAAAGAAGCTATACCCGTTTTATTTTCTAATTAGTTGATAAAAATGTGTATTACTACATACAAGTTGTATTAAAATCCGTTATTTAATTGAAAACTTGAGCTCATTGATTCAGCTTGTGTATGAATTCAGGCCGTAAAAAGTGCGGAGTAAAAACTTTGCGTGATGCTAGCTCTCGTCCACTCACAGAACGTGGAGCGGTGCTGTCACGAACAGGCTGCGTCCTCTAGCGTCTACAGCGCAGGTAAACACAGTAGCATGTTAGCTGATAGCGGCTATACCTCCCCCAAACAACACAACAGTGAGGAGGAGAAGTGGGAACTAAAGTGAAAAAATGATCAAAGAAGAAATCAAGCCCGGGTGAACAGTAGCTAGCTTACATCGTATCCTCTGGAGAGACCTGCGGGAGCGGGACCGCCTCGAACTGAATTTGGACACGAAACTAGCTGTAATCTTTCAGTTATATATTTTGTTAGCAGTGCGTTGCTTTTGTACCATTTCATCAGTGATTGTTGTACAGCTTACAAAAAGTTGCGCTAATGCTAATGTTTGCAGTATCAGATCGCAAATAAAACTAGATGGCTTCGTGGATGGAGAGCGTAGGGGAAATGAGAAGCCTGTGAGCGAGTTGGGGGGCGGTGCTAAACATTCAAACTGAAAAAAAAAACCTTGCAGAAACGGTATAGCTCCTTTTAATTATCACTGCATATATTTGCGTATTGTCTTCCGAAACCTTAACCTTGATAAACAAAGCACAGGTCCTCCATGAGGTTCACACTGAGGGAAAATTTTAAACATAGATTTTTGAGTCTGTGCTGTTTTAAAACACACAAACTCAATCTTTTAATCCAATGCAATGCATTTCTGTTGAGGTATACAACGCACAGTGGCCTCAGTCTCGGTTAGGACCTGCATTTCAGGCATGCGTCACACTGCCCGCTGAGAAATACCATCGACTTTATTTGGATCTAGAGGAATACATTCTTGTACCATGGCTTCAGCTTTAGGGAATCTGAGGATACCACCCTTAGAGACGGTCACATGGAAGAGCTCGGAGAAGAGTCGCTGCTCCTCTGCATGGGGAAGTCTTGGCATCTCTGCTGCTGTCGCAACCAATTTCTTGTATTTTGAAAATGTGAGTAGTGCTCTCATTAACTCCTAGAGAAGTCATTCCTAGTTTCTATGGCAACAATAGCTTTTAGCCTTTTTTCTATTTCAAGGCATATCCACCAGATTCAGCAATTATTTAAAATATTTTGTGAATTACTAACTTTTAAAAGATCTGGCAAAAAAAAAAACGTTTTGGGGGAATTTCTCAGAATCCCATTTTATTGAATGGGAGCAGTCAAAACAAGGCTGTGGGAGTCCTAGTGTTAAGAATCTGTTATTTATTATGATTTTTTTGTGTGTGTAAAGGTAAGTTGTGGCCGATTGTGTGGCTCTGCAGCCGCTCCTCTTTACCGTGAAAATAGCTTTCATTACTTTGTTATTGGCCTCTGATTGGTCGAACCCTCGAGACGCAGAGTTTTAAGCATTAGAACAGCATCGATGAGCGTGTGGTCAGATTCGCTAGCGGTTTTAAAATAGATATTGATCGTTAAAGCTTTAATCTGTAAAGACCTGGTTTGTTTGGGAAGAGAGAAAGCAGCATGTCTCACAGTATGGTGGAGCAGTGGTTAGAGCTTATACCTCACAAGGTCCTGGGTTAGATTCCACCTCCAGATCTTTCTGAGTGGAGTTTGCATGTTCTCCCCATGTACCATAGTTCTGGCATGTGCCTCCTGTCGACT